GTTTTTTGGCTTTGTTTTTCTTTCATCTTTTTGATACAAGTTTTGGTGGTTTCTTTTTTTTTGTCTCTTTGAAAGAAAAGAATCTTTGTGATTTGAGAAGGGTGAATCTTTTGGACTCTGTTTCTTAGATTTGTAAATTTGACTATCTCAAAATGATTTTTACTTTGGAAATATATATTTAGTTTAGATGAAAAAAAAAAAAAACTTATTTCATCTTATCCTTTCTAAGGATAAAGAGTGGGTGGTTTCGAAATTTTTATCATACAAACATTCAGCAAAAGAAAAGATATATTATAATAAAACTTAATTTATAAAACCAGAAAGGAATATAGAATTGCTGATACTTCCTAAATTCTGAAATTCTTTATTACAGTATGTACAAAAGATATAATATTTAATTCTTTTTTTTTTAAGGAAACATGGACCAATTAGCATTCAAAAACTGGTTGATTCTATTTACCTTTAACGTATAGTTATGTTTAAATAATATTTTTTTTTAATTATATGTTTACCACTCACGATAATTATCACTATCACGGTTGGACCCCACAAGGTAGGTCTGTGGACCCAATCTCTCTTATCTCCGAAATTAAACGCCGTTACACTTCCTTCCAAAATATAGCCGTACCGTGATTTCGACGGCGTTAAATTTAAGCTGGAAAATTTGATTTTCGTATATTCTAAAAAAATGAGTGAAAAAGTGCAACAGAGACTCGTTTGCAATCCACATAGGATAAATAAATTAAACATTTTGTTCTTTATTCCGAAATTAACCTCTACCGTCCGATTGAACCAAATGCTATTTGAAGAACAAAGAAACTCTACCGTCCGATTGATGTAATAAATTAGCTAAACCGACAAAAAATAATAATTAAAGAGGTAAAAATTGTAGTATAAAATATGAATATAAGCTATAGTCTAGAGGTAGATTAGATCAACCTGCCACGTGACAGAATGTCCAATAGTTACAGCTTACAGGTTATCTCCACTAATCTAAAAATATTAAACTTTAAATAATAAGATTATCTCATTTAAACCTTAAGATTTTTCATAATATGACATA